GTGTTTCTCTTAGTAGCTTTATCTGGTCTACTCCTGTTTGGCTGTGACACCATCCCGGACAGAAGTATCAGCTGTGCTGCTGCCATCAAAACCTTTGTTTATAGATGTTCGAGACCGGCCTGTTTTTAAGTGTAGTCTTATCTCTCTGACTGTGACTGGCTAGATGTGCTCTCTTCATACTCTGACATGGGCGTTGGCTCAGATCTCATCTGCCTGGCTGTATGTTTCCTGGACAGGGTCGCCTGTGGAGCTGGTTTACAGTTGCCTTTTGTCACTGTGCTTCTTTTTCTGTCTGCTTCTGTCACTTTGAATCCCAGTCGGCCTCGGCAAATGGTTGCCCAATTAAAAGGGAGATTTTCCTCCCCACTATCGCTACAAGCATGCTTAGTGTGAGTGATTGCTTTTGAGTCAATGAGTTGATGCCATTAACTGGTTTTCCTTAGATAGAAAACTTTGAATCAATTTGGCTGTATGATCTGGTTGAACTGTAAAGTGCCTTGAGATGACATGTGGTGTGAATTGGCGCTATAGAAATAAACTGAATTAACATTAAATTGAACTTGGACCTACCTTAGTCAGAGATGAGTTGCAACACCTTTTACAGACAGAAAAGTCAGTTCTCTAGAAACCTCTGTCAGTTCTGCTGTCACCAAGAATACTTTTTGGCATCATTCTTCACTTTCAACTTCTATTCAACTTTTCACAATAGATCTCTGTATTTATTAAAATGTGACCTGCAAGTTTGCATCTATAAACATTGCATAAAAAATCTAATGAAAAAGTTGTGATTTAATGTTCTCCATTAAAACGCTGACTTGACTTTGTAATAATGTAGGTAATGTATCTTTCTTTCATTTCTATACTATATTTATTACAGTTGATATTTGTTCTTCTTAAAAAAATTGTTTATACTCAATGTTTTTTGTGTTTATTTATTGCTATATATTGCACCAGTTACTGAGTAATTCCTTTGGAGTCTGGAAAAGTCTGGAAATTGATTGAATATTTGACACATTTTGATAAGTATGGGAAAATGAAAATGGATTTTATTTTAATTAACCTAAGTGTATTTGACTCCTTTTGCTTTAACTTGTGCAGTCCTGGAATGACTGTAGTTCTTGTATATAGTAGTAGTTGTGTAGTACTTCAACTGCCAACTCAGTTCACACTACTTTTTTAATTTGACTTGATTTTATTTTAATGGTGCTTTTGACATGTTATCTTAGTACTGTGTCTGGATCAATTCTTTAGTATAGAGGGCAAAGACTTTTTTCATTCCTATTTGTTTGGTCGAACATTTTCTAAGAATTTCTCCACTAAGTCTCCCCTGAAAATTTCCTCAAGTCTTTGTGCTAGGATCCCCTCCCTTTATTTGCTTCCCTGGTATATGTTTTACAAAGTGTGTTTTTGTACTTTTCACAATTATGCAAATTATGCTCAAATCTATATCCTACTAAAAGAGACATTGAAACTTGGGTGAGGTTTATCATCCTTATTTAAATGGGAAAACAACACAAAAATGTCGTCAGAAATATTCAAGTGTTCTTGAATATGTTTTTAAAATTAAGATCAGAGCAGTAGTTAATTTACTTCTACTTTTAAAGATGAATTGCTAAAATCAAACCTACCTTATAAAAGTATGATTTTATTTCTTTTGGTCACTTTCTTCTGTCTCTGGAACTGACTCAGAACACTGCTGCCAATCTGCTAAAAAGTAAAAAAAAATACATAACCACATTACTCCCACATTGTCTTTCCTGCATTGGCTGTTTGAATGCTCTAGGATTGTCTTTGCGATCGTACTTTTGAATTTTAAATATTCAAATCATTAGGCCCCTCATGCTAATATGAGATTTTATGCTAGCATATATAAACTTCGACTTAAACAATGGGGAATGTTGCAAAATAGCTTAAAACCCATTACAGACTTGTCTGTTTGACCTAGGTAGTTTCTAATTCCCTTTGCGCAGATGCATCAGGCTAAGGGTCTCTAATGGAACTGAGGAGCTCCTTCAGTAGCAAACCCACTGCATCCATGATGTGTGGAGGCACGATTCAGAACTCCCTCTAGCAGCTGTCAGGCTGTCAAACAAAAACCTTGTAGCTGAATACTCACATCATAGACTAATCAAATGCACCCTTATATTTTGTATGTTTATAGGCATGTCAAGGTGTGTGTGTGCTCTGTTTTTATTACATTGTGGGGAAAACTTTCAGGGAAAATGGTCCATTTAGGGGACCAGCAGTTCCTTGTGGGGCCTAATGCCTGGACCCCACATAGCAAATTGCTGTTTTTGGGTCGTGGTCACAATTAGGACTCAGGTGTGAATACAGTTTAAGTGTGGGTAAGGAATGACCCTGAATGGTTAGGGTAAAGGTCACTTTTAGGCTGTAGAAATTAATGAAATCTAATAAAAAGGCCAAGCAAAGATAATGAGACATCTTGGTGTGCTCGTGTGTAGGTGTTCATGTGTACATAAATATATTCAGTTATGTGTATGTTTTTATGCACTTTGAATTGAAGGGGCGGACCTGTTCGTTCGTCCGGTTCAATTTACATGTTTCTAAGCCAAAACAAGGCCTTGTTTTTTGGTCCAATCTATAAAGCCTCGGACTCAATGCTATTTCCGACATTTTGAATTGAAAAAGCTTCCTGGATGGGAAGCAAAACTTGGAATCAAAGTCCAGTGGATTGTTTTATAAACTTATTTGGAATGACTATTACCTGGTTGACTGAGACTCTTTACCTGCATATGTTTAAGTAGTTTCTACAGGGAGTGGCAGCCTAGTGGTTAGGGCGTAGAGCTTGAAATCATGAGATTCTGAGTTTGAGCCCTGCTCCCTCAGACTGCAACTCTGGGTCCTTGAGCAAAAGACCCTTAACCCAACTCTGCTCCCCAGGCGCCACACAATGTTAGCCCACTGCTCCCCAAGGGGAAGGGTTAAATGCAGAGAGTACATTTTGTTGCTCTGTACTTATACCAGTGAAATGACAATAAAAGCTGGAAAAAGAAAGTTTGTTACTTTACTTTCTGCTGCTCTCTTTATGTTCTCTCCACATTTTTGTTTGCAAATTCCATGCAGAAAGACCCCGGACTGGGATTCAAACCAGGAACCTTCTTGCTGCAAGGCAGCAGTGCTACCCACTGTGAAGCCAGTGATTCCCAAACTTTCCTTGCCCCCTTTTGTTTTACTTTTTTTTTTTTGCCCAGCATAGGCGGTTAGTTGTTTTCTAATTTGAGGAGGGGAAAAAATGATAAAATCGATTTAATGATTTTTTGTGTTCAAATACATATTTCAAACAGATGGAATGGAAATTTGTAGGAGCCCTGGATAGTTAAGCAGGCTAACAATATCCTTAACAATTTGTAAATTAAGATAAAGCATTTTTTAAGGCAACTGATTGTGACCTCATCGTCTTTATTTTGGCACCTTCACCTTACAAATTCATATGTAGTTAGTATGCTGTGCACTTTGCAAAAATATACAAACCATAACTAAATCTTGGCACTGAAAGCATATTGCTTTTTTTTTAAACATAGAATAATTAGGAATTATTTTAAAAAAGACAGTGTTTTAGTCATTCAGAACTTATGTACAAAGAACTGTTTAATTCTTGAGTTAACAGTGAGCTGGGGAGATAACATAAGATGAATAGGACCTATCCTTTAAATCTCATCTTTTGGTGCAGCATCTGTTATTTGATAAATAGCAGTATAATGCATAGTGTTTTGCATTGCCCTGGGACAAAATTTTTGTTATTATCAGTTTAAAAGAAAGAAAGAAGAAAGAAAGTTGCTTTGGGAACTTTTTCTGATATGGAGATTAGAGATCAAAAATCAGGGGGAAAACAGGAACCTTCAGGCTCCATGACACAACTGCACAGTTTCACCCTGTGATATGTCCCAACACTAAACAGCATTCCTTGACCACAATTTTCAATGCAGTCTTTCAAAGGTGACCAAATAACTACTAATAAACCAGTGGACTTTCTTAACCTTAACAAACACTGTTATTTAAACTTTGTGCTTGTGGTCTGATAAAACTGACCACAAGCACACAGTTTTCAGCAATAAATCTTTTCCAAATAGTGAATATGTGGTAAAAACAACTTACCTGTTTTCCTTCAGGTAATGTTTTGGATATGTGTGTCCTGAGAATTCTCTTACAAGCAAACAGCATCAAGAACTATTTGAAATACTAAGACATATTAGATTAAAAAATATGCTGACCTTCTGGACAGGGTTATGCAAATTGATCCCTATTGGATGATTCAACAGGATACTGATCAAAAACACTCGGTCAAATCCATGCTGATACTTCTTAGCAGATAAAGATTAAAGACTATCTGAAGTGTGAGTTTGATTCATCACAATAGATACACCTGTTACTTTTTATTTTGCTCATCTTGATCTAGTGAGACCAATACTGATAGAGTGTGCTGTAAATATATTACAAGGTGTGAAGCACTGCAGCCTTTTTGTTGTTAAAAAAACAGAATCTGGAATCACAAGTTTTACTTAAAATGAAAGGAATGACCCCCACCCTTAACACAACAATTGGCCTCCACACCCAAGATGATGGAAAGTTTCCAAAGCAGTTTGTTTGAGAGTAAAAACCCAAGCTGTCTTCTTTCCACTTTGGCAAAATGACCAAATTTAATCTATTTTCAAAATAATATTAAGTGGCTTTTAAAGTTTTGCTTATGTTTATTCAGTTTTCATCTTTTATCGGATCTGCCCACAAAAATCGATATAACTATTCGCATCCAATGACACCCATTTGGTGATAAACTAAACAATGTGGAATGACAAGTTTGACTTGAAGACTGAAGAGTGACCCCCACCTTTGTGCAACCATCTTCCTCCACACCCAAAATGATGGAAAGTTTGCATTGCAGAAAGTTGGATATGTTTAACATAATTTATTTTAACAACCGAAACTCTAGGCCCCTCCCTCTTTTACTGCAGGTGTTCACTATATAAAAAAGGGGTCTGCTGATGTTCTGTACTGCGGATCTTCTCCAGATCTCCTGACCCGTTCAGATTGGGACTCTCCAAGATGTCTTTTACCTCCAGATCCTACAGACAGGTGTCCAGTGGCCAGAAGACCATGAGTGTCTACGGTGGTGCGGGAGGTCGGGATACCCGTATCTCCACAACCCATACTACCTGCTTACCCTATTTAGGAGGCAACAATAACACCGATGGACTTGACCTCCATGTTGATGCCAACGAGAAGTTCATGCTCCAAAATTTGAATGACCGTCTGGCCTCCTACCTTCAGAAGGTGCATTCAATGGAGAAGGAGAATGAGCGGCTCGAAAAGCAGATCAGAGAATGGTACTCAAGTAAAACTGTGATCACCCGTGATTACAGCAACTACTTTGCCACCATCGCTGACCTGCAGGATAAGGTAGGAGGGAAAAGACTCGAAAGGTTACTTCTAACAAGGGCGAATGTTTTTAAACATCATCCCGTTAGAAATTTAATATTTTCCACTGATTGCAACTTCACATCAACTTGTTTTTTTTTTTTTTTACAAATTTGTCTTTCTTCTACAGATCCGAGATGCCACCACATTTAATGCCAAGCTCTACCTGGAGATTGACAATTCGAAACTGGCTGCTGAGGATTTTAAAATGAAGTGAGTGAATTATCTAAGTATTTGTTCCTTGGTGTCCATTTTATCTTTTATGTCATGCTCTCAAAGGGCCCTCTGACTTGTTCTACCTTCTCTTGATAAATCTTCTCAGGTACGAGAACGAGCTAAGCATGAGACAGGCTGTGGAGGGTGACATCGCTGGATTGAAGAAGGTCTTTGATGATCTTAATCTGCAAAAAATGGATCTGGAGGGTCAGTACGAGTCACTGAAGGACGAGCTCATCATGCTGAAGAAGAACCACGAGGAGGTAAGGCAGCAGAAAAAGCCTTTGACAGGGCATGAATCAAGATTTACAAATAAGTTAAACTGACTTGCTTCCATGTTTCAAGATACCTGATACAACAAAACAATCATAACCAGTCGCTTCAAGCCTTCATGACATTGAGGAGGAGATTAAACCATTAGACTGCTGTGATCCAGGTAGAACAGAGCTTTAAGAGTAGATATGAGGACCATTGATCAGCACTAAAATACAACAGGGAAAAAAATTAAATTGTTTTAGTTCATCTTCATTAGTTTATGTGTACTCAGTTATTGATGTTTTACAAGAAGCTATTCACTGAATTATTCAACTATTTCACTATAACACCTCCCTCAATTGTTTTAAAACTAAATCACATATTAGCCCTTTTTTATTCCTTATGAAAAAGAGGAATTATGCATAAAATCAAAATGGTGCTTCTCCCAGAAGGTACCCTCCCTTCTCTTCAATCAGTTCCTTGGATTCTTTTCTTCCTCCATCAGCTGGAGGCTGCTCTTTGTTTACGTAACACCATTATACCTATCCCAATTATACCTGGATAATAACTTAAAACAATTTGGTTCTATTTCCCCCTGCAGGAAACATCTCTGCTGAAGACTCAGGCGGGTGGCCAGTTTAACGTTGAGGTGGACGCTCCTTCCCCTGTAGACCTGAACAAAATCATGACAGAGATCCGTGAGCACTATGAGGCTCTTATTGCCAAGAACCGCAAGGAACTCGAGTTGTGGTACCAGAACAAGGTGAGTCATAAAGCTGCATTTCTAAGTCTTACAAAAACCTATCAATAAAAGACTGAAGTGGTAATCAATGTCAACCTTTTGTGTCTTCCCAGTGTACAGTGGTGGAGAATAAGGTAGAAGTTAATTCATCCAGTCTTGAGTCATCCCGCCTTGAGATTAAAGAGCTAAAGAACACCCTTCAGTCGCTTCAGATTGAACTGCAATCCCAGCTAAGTATGGTATGTTTACGCTCCAGCAATATTCATTAAAGCGTTTATTCATTTTCTTTATTTAACCAATTTGTTTCCTTTGCAAAAGATTAGCCAAACCAGTTTAAATAAAGAGAGTACATGCCAGAGTAGCAACCATACCCAGAAACACTTGCACACATTTTGCCTAGCCTCCAGAGGTTTTATTAGATCCCAATGTTTATTTTGGCACACAGACTTAAAGTACGGTTAAAAGATTGCTGCAAACAACACAAACTGAAAACACCTAAATTCTTTCTTTTACTTTTTAAAGTTAAAACCTAATTTCCTAAATGTCTGCTTACTGATAATTGTGACATCCTTTTTTTTTTTTTTGAGATAATAGCCAAAAAGAAAGACTTTTCCATGATCTCAAGCCACTTAGTAAGGCATGCAGGGATGATGAACCATTGATATATTACCACTAAAAGGGTAGACAATGGTTCCTAAATATAGTTTTTGAGAGACAGTTCAACTTTTAATTACATAATTTCTTCAGCACACCTTAATCAAATAAATGGCCAATTGCCAAACTTCTGCACAGCTGAATGACTGAATGTTAACAAGAACTTTTGGTTCAGGTGTGATGGAGCAGGGATGCATCGAAAAGTGGAAGTTATGTAATCAACAACAGTTGGAAAGGTTAATCCTAAAAGTTTCAGTATTATGTGGAGAAAAAAAAACTTCTGATGGAATTTATACTGGGGTAATTGTTTTTAAAGAACAATAAAAAAAAATCAGCCATCAATTCAAAATCTTGAATATTTATGAACAGATACACTCATTTGAATGAAAATGTTTAGGTTAAACATTCACCATATCAAATTTGATTTATTTGAGTACCGGTAGCAAAAAACAAAAAAAATATATATAAGCTGTATTTTCTTGAAAATCAAGTTGTAGGTGTAATCTACTGTTCGTTTTGACTCATCTTTGGTTTGAATTGAATTAAATTCACTTTATTCATATAGCGCCAATTCACAACAATTCAACCAGATCAAATAGTTTTAAAGTTTTCTATTTAAGGGAAACCGGTTGATTGCATCGACTCATTTGGTTTGAATGCCCTGAGGTAGATTATTTATAGATGTCAGAAACAGTTAAAGGCCTGTTCCTTAACCTTAAAGGTTCTAACACACCATATTTATGTCCTAATAGCTAATAAAAAAAACATGAATTTTTAGAAAGAAAGTTAAGCTCACCTGATCTTTGCCATTTTATAAAGTATATTTGTGTTTGGGTGTTTTGTTAATACAGTAAAATAATGATAACATAATTAAATAGGCTGCTTTTTTTGGTTAACTTTTATATGCTTCTGTGCCGTTTTTGATAGCAGCATAAGCAAACCCTTGCATGCACTATAGTTAGCTCAATCTAGAGAAAAGAATAGATAAAGAATGCAGCATTCTTACAAAGTATATAAAATGTGTACATTTGGATTCAAAAAATAAGTTGATGGTGCAAATTTCAATTAGGGATTGTTGCATTTCACTGTTTTTATACAGTAAATTTAAAGCTGATGACATTAAGTACTCACCATCCATTTCTTTTTTCTTTTTTTTTATATATATAATTTGAAACCTTCCATGACAGAAATCTTCTCTTGAATCAACTCTGCAAGAGACTAACGAACGCTATGCAGCCCAGCTAGCAGGTCTCCAGGCCTTCATTACAGGCCTAGAAGATCAGATGTTAAATCTCACCAACAGTATCACTGAAATGCAACTGAAGTACGGCACGCTTCTGGATCTCAAGACCCGTCTGGAGGCAGAGATTGTAGAGTACAGGAGGCTGCTAGATGGGGAGATTGACAGGTGAGAGCTGGTCAAGATGTATAAACAAACAGGCGAAATAATGAGAACATTACGAGTAAAATATATAACTAACTTATAATGTTTCTCTTTCCAATCAATTCCAGTGAAAGCTCAAAGCAAGGTAAGAAACATTTTTATTTCCAAAGCCAATAAAATATTTCCCTTTTGTAGAAATAAAGCAATAATAATAATTATCCTAATAATAATCAATTTTTCCCCCTTTTTCAGTGGTTACTAAGACCATCACTGTGGAAGAGACCTACGTGAATGGAAAAAAGGTTGACTCCTCCAAGAGTGTTGATGTGGATGTGAATCAGATGAAGTAAAAAGAAATCAAAAGAGTCAACAAATTCAATAAAGATCCTGCAGTTAAATTAACCTTGTATGTGTATTTCTTGAAGGCATAAAAACCTTATCAAATTATTTTTTTTGCACTTTTTGTGAAAACTGGTAAACACTGGTGTTAATTTATGGCCATAGTAAGGATAAATACCACTCACCTCAACAGTCTCATCACTGTTTAGAGTTCCACAGTGAAACCTAATAGAAATACTCAAAATGATTAACGAAAACAAGCAGAAGAATCATTTTTTACAGAACTTTTGTGCAAAAAGTGATCACATGTATACATACAGTATTTGTTCTCTTTGTACGTGTAGAAGGTCCTTCTTAAAATCCAAGAACATTACATCTTTAGTGATTAGAGTGTTTAGATAATTGATCATAGATCAGTGAGGTTATGAGAGATGATGGGACAGTTTGTTTTGCGCCTAAGTAGGTAAACAAGATATCCTTTCACTGAGTGTTTACATGGGACTCAAACAGCAGGGGAAGACAAGTGTTTACACAAACTAATATTGTTTTCCTTTATTAATATGCAAACAAATCTTACATTGCATTTATATCATTGCATTGTCCATATTTAGCATGAGGTCAGCTCATATTTGATAGATTTCATTTGCATCACATTGATGTTTATTCTGAAAGATCAGGGGCTTATGCATAAAAGAGTGTCATACTAAAAAATAAGTCATTCAAAAAAATAAGCTTAAGTCCAGTTGCATCTGATCTAAGCCTGTTTAATGGTTAATCATTGTTTTACCACTTGCAGATAATAAAAAAATGGTTATAGATTCCAATTTTAGATGTTAAAGTAAGAAACATATTACATTTAGTTAGATAATCTTATTAAGTAAACCTCTG